CAAATTAAAGGGAGGAATAGATCCCGAAGTAGTTCTTCTTTAACGGCGCCTAGAATACATCCACCGCCGCTAGTATCTGCAGTGAGCGACCCAGCCTTGAATTTGAATAACAATGTTTTACTTGCACACTTACTTACGAATAGTAGTACGTATTTTTATTGCAATTCTACCTTTTCTTATATAAAAAGTGTGAAAATCTTATGAGATCGATTGAACGTATTATAATTACTACGATTTACACAACATATCTTTACAATATTAATTAAATTTAATTAAATCATTTACATTAAGAAAAATATTTGAAGTGATGATTGATTCTTATGTAATATCTTCACTTCTATAGAAGTAACGCAGGTAACGACAACTCAACATATCACGACCCCAGTGACTGTACAAACAATGCAAACTTCTAGTATACAACAGACTCAACCACAGCAACAGGTATTAGAGAAATATCAGTTTATAATGTAATCGTCTTGTGTTTGAGATCAGTGATTCATGTTGATCTTTTGCAGACGATGCAACCATCCACAGCCCAACAGATTCTCTTAAATACGAAAAATCAAACGCATCAATCCCACAATAGTCCAATAGGCTCACCAAAGGATAGTAGCTCTAACGCACACAGTCCCCAGGCTTTAAGTCTTAGCCCTCTACATAGTCCCATGAGTTTAGGTAGTCCTTTATCGCCCACTCGCGGATACATGAAGAGTGAATCAGAAAGGGGACAGTATAAAGAGCAGAGGCGAGTTGGTCATATTCATGCGGAACAAAAGCGTAGATATAACATCAAGAATGGCTTCGATATGCTGCACAGTTTAATACCACAGCTCAGTCAAAATTCCAATGCGAAATTGAGCAAAGCCGCGATGTTACAGAAAGGGGCGGATTATATCCGACAACTTAAAGCGGAAAGACATCAATTAAAAGATGAGATGGATAGCCTGAGACAACAAATCGAGTGCCTTAATATGTCTATTAGGTATGTATATTCTAGTTATATTCCTAATAAATTGTAGCCTCAAAATACGTTATAAACAAAAGTAAAAATAATTAGCAATTATAGTTTACAAATAGCTGTTAAATGTATAATTATCTGTATAAATAAAATAATCTTGAATACTTCATGATGTTATTCTTGCAGTAATTGTCAATCTATGCTTCCCGCAACGGGTGCTCCAGTTTCTAGACATAGAACCAGCAAAATAAAAGAGATGTTTGACGAATATGTACGTGTACGTACGCAAGAAAACTGGAAATTCTGGATTGTATCCTTTTTTTCTTTTTCTGACACATTATATCTTAAACTATTAACTCACATAAAATATATCAAGAATTTAAAAAAAATTAGCTTCCTTAATGTAATAAAATCAGTTCAGTATATTGTTAGAACCGTTAATGCTGTCCTTCAATGCTTCAGTCTCAACTGCGAGTATCGAGGATTTGTATAGAAGTACATTATTGTGGGTAGATCAACATTGTTCACTCGTCGATCTCAGACCAGGTTTGTATGCAAGAAAGAGATACATAAAAAAAAAATACATTTAAATATTTCCATTGCTTTTAACTATATAAAATGAGTTGGTATGGTTTGAAGAACCAAATAAGACGATATAAGAGAAAAAATTGCTTAAAATCATTATTTGTAAAATCTCTCTTTGACATTGTAATTTTTCTAAATAAACATTTAAATATATTTTTTTAGATGTCGGCTTTTATAATAATATATTATAGAATAAAAATATAATGAAAAATATATATTTAAAAATACAACATAATGCAATGAATATTCACAATTATCTTGACCAAAATATTATTTTCAGCTGTTTTGAATTCCCTCAAGTCTCTGTGTACTGCCACTGATATTTTATCAGATCCGACCCGCCTTCCCGAAGAAGCGCTTGCGGCAGTTAATCGAACAGAACGCCGACGATCCATGCAATGATCAAGTTCGTAAATTCAACAGCGTGTTTGTATAAAAACAAGTTAAGGTTTAGATAAAATCGTAGAGATCTCGGTCATCTCGCGTTGTTCTCGTTTCGGAAAGCCCTTTCGAACGAGCTCTCACTCGACAACCTTATATACCATTTTTTTGGTCCTCTTACTCCCAGAGGTGTTAAAGTGGATGTTTTCGAGATTAAATGAGATTTAATAGATTTTATGATCCCATTGTGACTCGAAATTTCAATCCTATATTCCCGAATCATTCAGAAATTGTGGCCTGTGGTTGAAATTGTGGTTGTGAAGGTGGCCTGAAACTTTTAGCGGACATTGTATATGAATTCAGGGTTCCCACGGATATCTGGAAAATCGTGAAAAGTCAGAGAATTTGAAATTGGTTAGGGAAAATCGGAAAATATCAGGAAAAATATAAAAGAATCTGGAATTTTGAACTTTGCTCGTAATTCTCTTAAAATGCTTTATATTCCAAATGTTATAATTTTTTAAACATTATATCTAACGTTTATAATCAAATACATTCAAAACTTGCACTTTACAAATCATTCCTTATTACGAGATGGCGTTTTTGAGGTGCTGTGTGGTGTCACGTCGTCTATAATCATAACGCAACGTGAAAGAGAAAAGTTTATTTATATATACACAACCCCTCTCTTTTTCTCTTTCGCGTCACGACGCGACGCGTGATGCGCTCAGTAGAAACCTACCATAAGTGCTAATTTAAACATAACTAAACAGACTAATAAGTGAGAGAGATTATTAGAACTTAGAACCTATTCCTCCCACGACAATGACAAGTAAAAGTGTTTCGATTTCAAGATTATTGGTTACAAGATCCTTTGTTTCGAGATGTTTTTACGAAAAGCGAAAAAAGCAATTTTGTTTATATATATCAATATAAATTGATATATATATATATATATTAGAAAGTCAGGGAATTTCAAAATTCATTTTTTGTGGGAACCCTGTGAATGTAAGGATGATAGTTACCGTATAATTTAAGTTAGTCTATGCGAAATAAAAAGAAAACATAACATTCGGTTAGTTAACCGAAACGCAGAAATAAGAATTTAAGTGCAATTCCTCTTTTTATTGCGACATCACGTTATTGTTGCAAAGTCTATAATGGATAATTAAAAAAACATTTTATATTACAGATTTGAATATAAAGAATATATGTACGTAATATACACTTATACTGCAGTATGTATGCTGACAGTATACAATACTTGATACTAATATTGATATGGCACAGTCATTTGCATTAATATGATTACTTTTTGATAAAATTGTCTTATTGTGTACTTTTTCTCACGTTTATTTCGCGTAATTGTATGCATTATATTATGGAGATGTGATTCTCTTAGCGACGGAGTTTTCAAATCGATCTTAACAAGAAACGAAAACAGAAATTGACGTCAAAAGAGACTTTATTTACGAGGGTAGTTCGAAGAGTACTCGGCCTGACAAAGAAATGATTTTTGGCAAAATTTTTTTGTATTTTTCGACATAGTCCCCTTGTAAACCAATGCACTTAGACCAACGGTATTCTAACTTTTTTAGACCTTCAGTATAATACAACCGAGACACTACCGTGTCTCCAGATTTTTCTGACCCTTCAAAATAAGCATTTGTCTCAGGGTGAAAGCACACGGTAATCAGCATGCGGGACAGAGGATGCGTGATTCGAACAGCCAATCGGCGCTTTTCCGCATTTTTCTGTACTTCTCCCGTATGCATTTACGGCCCTGTTGCCTGTGTTTCCACCCATTGTTTGGACTGTTGTTTCGTCTTTGGCGTGTAATAATGAATTCATGTTTCATCCACAGTGATGAATCGTCGCAGAAAGTTGGATTACGTTTAAACATGTTCAAACGAATGCGTTTCTGATCGACCGTTAAGCAAACGCGGCACCCATCGCGCTGAAAGCTTTAAATTTTCATGTGCAAATGTTCGTGTAAGATGTTATAAACACGATCTACTGAGATGTTTACAATGTCAGCACTTTCAGTCGTCGATCATTTAACACGGCATTTTTTCGATGATATACTTTATATAAGCTTATAATTGCGTGGAGACGATAAAAAGGGGGTTGCTCATAAGATACATGTTCACACGATTATGTAAAATAAGATCTTTAATATGGAAATTTATGTGATAATGTACAAATCATTTGCAAAAGGTTTAAATACCGAATATAGCTTAAACTACAAAGGACTTCTGTATATTGTAGTGTTAATGTAAAATGTTGTATATAGCCCGATGTTAAGAGAGAACAAAATGGTTAATTCTACAAAAACTAAATTCTTTTTTTAAATTGATACTTCACATCATGTATATTGTTAATATGTTTTGTTTTAGAGCATAAAGAATGTTATTTTTTAATACAATATATAGATGCCCTTATTCAACTTACATCATGTATGTACAATGCATTAAGTGATAAATAATATAAGCGAACTCATCGAAGGGATGTTTTTTTGTACAATATGTATCATATAAGCATAAAAAAATTGACATGTTATTATCAAATGTTATAACAACATGAAATCCAAACTAATTCATTTTCTTTTTTACTTTCTCCTTCTCGCAATCATTACTTTTAACTATTATAAATAATTATATTGAATGAAACTAAATTTAGAACAGTCACACGAAATTGAATACAAATATATATTTTATTGTAATATTCGGAAAATGCTTTCCTAAAATAATTTTTATTGGAAGTAACAAAGTACATTGGAAGGTCCTTATAATGAATATTGTTATTTATTGTAATATAATTTGACAATTTTTATTGTATTTTATAAATTGAAATAACAAATTAAATTTATAAATACTTTCTTAAAAAAGCCTAATATCAAAAAATTTTAATTAGCATTAAAGCTTTGTTCTAATGTAAATGTTATAATACATACTGTTTACAATTGTTATTTTATAATCTTTGGACACACCTTGATATTGATAGCATTTAATATCTTTATGTAAAAATATGTTAATTATTCAACACGTTTTTATTTTTAAAAAATTGAAAGCTCGCCAGCTGAATAATCAACAAATCAATGCCAAAGTGGAACAGTCATGACATATCAGATACAAATTAACATTACTGTTATCAGGTATTATCGTGAATAGTGGTACCTTGACGCAATTGAATGCGTGGATATTTACACTTTCATTAATTAAATGCCTCACTTTTTGCATGGTATGACCTGTCAATTTTAGTCCACACACTGGGCAACCCACACAATTATTCTTCTCTGCTAGTATAGCTTTCAGACATATGGGACAAAATACTTCTCTATTCTCATTGTCAGCGTACATTGTTAAGTGTTCGATCTCGTCCTGCAAAATCTTCTCGTATTCTTGGATTATCCATTGTTCTGCATAATATAATTTTTCATTAAATTCGTATTATATCACAAATTAATTATTATGAATTACAATTTCTAATAATATAAATTTCCAATAATATAACTGAACTTTTAGTGCTGATCATACCTTGTTCGTAAACAATTTCGTTTTCTAATTCACTTGCTTCTTCCTGAGATAGTGGCTCCTCAATCTCTTTAATTATAACTCTTTTATTGTCGTCATCTAATGTTGCTAAATTCTTGAATTCTTGGCGTATTATTTCTGTCAATGTATCCTGCATATGTCTTGAATGAAGTTCCAAGCCAAATCTACGTTTATTAAATAATTGCTCCCGCTTCTCTCGCATTTTCTGACGACATTTCTAAAATCAAATCAGATAATATTTAAAAAAAGAGACATCTTGTATATAAATATTGCTTTACGTTTAATATCACAAGTTAGTACAAGCGTTATTCCTTCTCAGCATTCAATAAATAAAAGATTGAATAATACTTGTATCGACTTGAGTCACTAAATGGAAAGCATAACATGGACATTTTCCAACAAAAAATACAGGTAACTGACAGGTAACACTACAGAAAGTACTTTTCATTTAATGACATTCCGATATAAACATTATTCTTTCTTTCAATAAGTAACAAAAACAGAATAACACTTGTATTAACTTGTGTTGCCAAATGAACACAATGTAACACACATATCAGTGTAACATAAAGAATTATTTTGGCAAACAAGAAGGATGTAATGCTTTACTATGTTATACTATATCAATTGTGTTTCGTATTGAAAAATGCTTTGCGTTCTTTTTCTCTCTCTTTCTTTTTCTTATAAACCATTTGATTTTAATAATCTTTTTTTTACAGAGAGTTCTATACAGAGAATCTATGATTTACATTAAAGATATTAAAGTTTAAATTTAACAGAAAAACAGGCACGAAAAAAATGTGTACGCATAAGGATATCCATAAAAAAATGCAGAGTCGCATTTATATTACTATCTCTAGAAATCGTAAAAGTAGTACGAAGTAAACATGGATTTCCCAACCTCTCGCAACACCTCCTGCAGCTTAGGTGAGCCATGTCTGATTTTATTTACGCACTCTCTGTTCTTCAATTTCGATGTCATTGTAGAATTGAACGTTATCGTTTTCCTAAAAGATAAATTGAGAGACGTAATTTGACACGAACGTCAAATTACTCCGCACAAATACGATATAGGTCTGTTTTTTATTGCTGCACTCTTCAAACGGGTGCACATGGTGCAATAAATTGAAGTGAAACAAACGTATATTTGTTTCATAGTCTATGATTTGTTTCACTTCAATTTATTGCACCATGTGCACCAGTTCAGAAAGTGTAGCATTAGAACAGCTGATGTATCCACATGCACATGCGCAATTCAAAGCGTACACTTACCAACCCTTGCGTCCTAAAATCCTCTATGTTGCAGCTAACCAACACGTCGGACAAAAATCTAAAATCGTCGACAAATGAAATATTAAAACTGGAATACGAAAAATCAAGACGGCGGACAGTTGCAATTACAAAACGAAATTGCATAACCAGTATTTGTCGATAAATTTATTTTTATTTTCTTTCCTTCCATAAATTGAAGATATTTACGAGGAAAATTACAAAACATTCACACGCAGTGATACGCATGAGATGGCAAATTTAAATTGATTCAAATACAAATCCTATTCTATTATACTTGTAAAACGATGAGAATCAAATTAAAAATACCCTATTCTAATTATTCCACTGAATTATCGATAATTCAATTTTTTATGTTAAAAAATCAGGAACACAACATCGTATTGCGTTCTTAACAAATTTAATTATTATGATTGTATATAGTTTTTAATAAAACAAATTTTACGAACATGAGATATACAGTATTATTACAAAATAAAAAGAGCATATCAAGATATAGTACTAAACTGTGGCATTCATAAACTCTCTGTATGCTTCTTACAATTCTTTAGGATGCGTTCGCACATAAGAGGAATTCGATATAACAATTCGCTTATGTTTTATTCATATAATGATAAGTGGTCTATATACAGAAAAAAACAGTGGCGGCAGAGTAAAACGCTGCTGATCCGTTATTTCTGACTGAAACAACGGTGGATGGTTACTAAACGCGTAGACATAAATAATACAAGGCGTGTTATTCATATATATCTTCCTTGTCCGCTACATAACGCACTATGTCCTTAGGTTTCAGTAGTCTCTCCGCGTCCATGTCTGGAATCTCGAAGCCAAACTCGTCCTCCATCGCCATTATGATCTCCACATGATCCAAGGAATCCAGACCCAGGTCGTCCATAAAATGCGAATCCAAAGTCAGCTGGAGATTCAACGTATCGTTAGATTAGGATTCAATCGCGCGTCTGGGCTTCCTGCACAACTGACATGTCCTTCTGATAAAATAAATCGAATTCAATACATAGAGAAAGAGTATTTTATACATTTAAATTTGTTAATTAGATATTATACAAATAATAAATATTTTTCTGCCGTATTTTTTTAACAGTAGTATATAATAATGCAAATTATTATAAATACAATGAGAATAAGAGTTAATAAAGAGATTTATTCTACATGTCAGTATGTACGCAGACGCCACGATCAAGCGAGGTGTTAACCAACTGTTCTTTGCTTCAAGAAATATTTCTCAAGACATTTAAAAAAAGACTAGCAATAAAAAAATTAGTGAAATTATATCATGTATATAAAGAACTATCGACTCTTCTAATTAATATGAGAAAGCTATAAGTGTTAAAAAAAAAAAGATTAACATGATTTTCATTTATACATATTCAAACAATCATGATGAACTAATGATTGATGATTGACGATTGATGATGCATTTTCACACTTTTTCGTTAAGAAATATGTGTATATCGTCTACAGAAACGTCTTGGCAAATATTTTAAGAATATTGATTTCTGATTGTAAGATACCTTTGTGGGTTCAATTTTGTCATAAAGTTTCAGAACCAAGAGCACCCGCTGATTGATAATATCAAGGGTTAGCGGATCCTTATGACTGTAATGGCGCACCTGCTTGATGCGTGTGTCCCTTAAGCCCTGCAAAATTTTTCCGAGAAAGAAGAAAGATGTATTTTATGTAACCTTTTCTACAAGGACGTTGTTATAAGCGGTAACAGCCTTTAATACGCGTTCTTCGATATCCTTAATCGATTTGGGCTTTTCTCTAGTAACTTCTTGACAATATCCACGATTGCATTTTACCTGCATTCATCAAATGATTTTTTTATATAAATTTTAACGTTCAATCTTTATGAAATAATTTCATGAAGAAATTTAGACTGTACTTAGATAACTTTGCAAAAAAATATATAGTTTGATTTTATACTACTCTGTTAGATAAAGATAATTTAAATTCAAAATCATAATTGTATTATCCAACAGTATCGCACATATTTTTCTTAGAAATTTAATAACACTTTCTTATTAATTATTTATGCAAATCTTAAATACTAACAAAAATTAATTGACATGTTTTAGAATAAAACAATAGTTGAAAACGCTATATATAAATCTAAACCAAAAGATTAAACTTATTACACTCTATAGTTTTTTATTTATGCCTTCTATGTGATATTTCTAAAACTTGAACATACATTTATCTTCATTTAAGGCTCTGTTCTATAACTCTAAAGCCCGATCTACAATTGCATAAACGTAGTTGTAAGAATTGACCAATGACAGTCAAATTCTCCTCGTATTCAACTATGATTAGTCAATTTTTACAACTACAACTACGTTTACACAATTGTAGATCGGGCTTTAACAACATTGATACTGTCATTACATTGTCATAGTAACATGTTTATACATGATAGTTTTTTTATAGAATAATGATATAATGTGTCTATTTCTACTAATAGTAGATTAATTTTAATCTCGGTTCAATTTACTTTCGAACTTTTAGAACTAGAATAAGATAAAAATTAAACTAAGATCAAAATTTAATCCATATTGTGATGGAAATAAGCATAAGACTGCTATTTTAGAACTCTTAACAACAATGTCAGTGTTGTGATGTTGTCGCTGCGTAATTCTTTATAAAACCTGCTCAACGACAATATAACAATACTGTTACTGCCATGAAAATAAGGACCAAATATCCATTTATACTGATATACATTAACTTTAATCTCAGTTTAACTTAACACTTTTTCTAGTTCTAAGAAAAGTTGAAAGTAAAATTAAAAAAGGATACAGAGTAAATTAAATCGAGATTATAAAATTAATCTACATTGGCAGAAATAGACATTAATTCATGCTTTTTCATTTTCTAAACTTTTTCAATCAGCTTTCTTCCTTGTTTTTGCACTGGATCCAGATCAAGTATAGATTGTTTATGTCTCCAAAAACTAAATATACAAAATCTATCATGTGATGCAACTGATGGGTCAAAGAAGTTGTAAGCACCAATAGCATAAAGTGCAGCCAAAATAAATGTGTTGAGTTAAGGTGAATTGAACTGGTGGACCTATGGGTCGACCGACGAGTCGTCTCTAGGCATCTCAGCAAGTATTTTAGATCGCTTCAGTTACATAATGTGCGTTCCGCAAAACTGCCGCGAATAATCGCTCGGCGAGAAGTCGATCACGCGTATCACACTGTCCGTCAATATTACCTGCGGAACGACAAACGTGGTCCATGCGGCACGATGCAACAACCTCTGCTCACATCGCATCTGTACGAGTGCACCACTCGTGCATCGCAACCGACTAAATGAGTTTCTGAGGCAACCGGTGTTCCTCGTTAACAGTCGGACACCCGCCAATGACGCCATTGTCACCTAAGATGAATGAGGACTCTAATCCGTTTCCGTATTTCTTCCTGCCGTGGGGCAATACACGAGACGAGACGAAGCTCTTTTTGTTCCTGGACTTTCCGCTCCGGACGACTCGCGGCGCGGATTACGAATTACGAGGAATATTCCGACATATTTCACCGCGCGTGCTGACATCTACTTTCGTAAATCGTAGAGCGAGCGATTTCATCAATTTTATCAGTCAAAGCGGCTATTGGTAGCGATGCAACAAAACGATATTTTTTGTTCAATTTTTGTTTTATCTACACTCCCATAGATGCTGTGCTTATACATAGATACATATATTTCACGTGCAAACAATATTAAAATATAATGATAAAAATATAATGACAAAAAGAAAATGTAATGTGCATATTATAGGTAGAATAACTTATAAACTTTAAAATCTTATAGAATACATGTATAAAGTCAGGGAATGGAAAGTTACTTTTTAAAAGTAACTAGTTACAGTTACTCGTTACCGAGTAAAAAATGTAACTAGTTACAGTTACAGTTATCGCTTTTTAAAAGTAACTCGTTACAGTTACCGTTACTTGAAAAATAACTTTTCGTTACTTTTCCGTTACTTTTTTAAAATCAATTTAAAAATGTACTTTTG